TTCTCTTTTGAGGAGCTCAGGTCCTTGCTGTTGTTGAATAGCTGCTGTTCTTGTCAGGGGAGCTCTCCTCTTTGCCATGAGCATCACTTCCTGGCTCTAGTATAGATGCCTCTGCCTGGGGTACAAATCTTTCACTCCTCCGGCTCAGGTTTTCTAGTTTTCACCACTGCTCTTTGGGCTTTCCTGGTGCAGATCCTTGATACAGGCAAGGATGAGATGTTGCTGTGGCCTCTAGGCTGCTGGTTGGGCGCATAGAGGACACTGCCCTGGACTCTAGGCCTTCAGCTGGACTTGTATGGGACACTGCCATGGGATCCAGGCCCTTGGTTGGATTCTTTGGGTCTGTAGTGCACAGTTAGATCTCTTTTACTCCTCTGCATTTGACTGTTTAGGTGGATATTATAAAATAATCCTAGAAATGATGTGTCCTGTATTAATCTATTCCCTTGTAATCCCAGACTACAATACATATGCACTGTTTTATACCTTGTTTTTTCCCTTAATAATACATCTTGAAATTCTCTCCATATTTGACCAAACTATTCATCACTAGTTATCCAAACATATTTTGCTGAGTTCTTTATAATGGACAGTCACAAGAGTCTTCTTTCCACCTGCACTAAATCCACATCTTCCTTTTGTTTTGTTTTGGGTTTTGTTTTTTTTTTTTTTTTTTGTACCGGGGATTGAACTCGGGTCCTTACACTTGCAAGGCAGGCCACTGAACCACTGAACTAAATCCCCGACACATCTTCCTTTCGGTCTGGATTGGAGATCCCACAGTCCATTCTAGCCAGACAGGGATCAAGATTGAGTTTCCCAACAATCAACTCTGAATACTTTGAATTTTATAACTGTTCAATAGCTTCCACTGATCTATCGTATAAAACTCAAATTCCTTTGTCTACATCTGGCTCCAGTTTACATTTCCATTCTCAAACTGGACATTCTAATCAACAGTTTTGGATATGTGAAGCTTACTTCAAAGGATTACCCATCTAGATATAGACCAATGACTCCCATACCAAGCAGGAATCCCAACTGAATAGCATGGACAGAAGTAATCAGTGTTGACCAGCTACACAGTTGGATTTGGAGATGGAATGACCTTGGGAGCTGAGCATATCCTGCAGTCACATGAACAGCATGTGTTCTGTTCAGTTTATTTCGGAATCCTGGGATCTCTTACCTAGAGACAACATATAATTGAAATATATGGTCACTGTTTAAATTTTTAAAAATTTATTACAGTTAAAGACACATTGCTGTTAATCTTACTCTACCCCCCGCTTGCTTCAGACGTATTTATCCCATGGTTCTTGCCATTCTCTGTAGCAGTTCTCTTTCCTGAGTGTTGTTAGAAGTTTGATCAAAAATACAGTGAATGCTGCTATTGAGCACCATCCAAGAGAAAAGAAGGCTCAGAAGGGCTGTGGATGTAGCTCAGTGATACCAAACCTGGCTTACAAGCACAAGGTCCTGAGTTTGATCCCTGGTACCAAAAAGAAAGAAAGAAAGAAATGAATGAACGAATGCAGGCTCATCAGAGCATTATCATGTGTCTTCACCCACTTCATTCCCCAGATCTGCCACTGTTCTGGCTCTTCCACAAAGTTAAAATAACCATGAAAGTTCAACGTTTGAATCAATTCGGATATGGGTCATGACAGCGCAACCACTTAAAGACCCTCACAAAAGATGACTTCCAGAACTCCTTCAGAAAGTAGCAAATCAATAGGATAAGGTGTTCAAAAATATTGAGGGGATTAATGGCAATATGTTTTGTACCATAATAAATCTTTTAAAAATTTAAACATTCACCGTATTTATCAGCTCTGCTATCTAGCCATGTATCTCATCTATTTCCTTTATTGTTTTTTGAGACAGAGTCTCACTGTGTCGTTCAGGCTGGCCTTGAACTCACAGCAGTCTGCCTCAATCTCCTGAGTGCTGGGATCACAGGTGTACATCATCACATCTGGTTAATCTTTTTTCTTTTTTTGAGATGGCCTGCTATCCAGTTCAGATTGGCCTTGAACCCACTATGGAGCCCACGCTGGCCTTGAACTCATGGCAATCCCCCTGCCTCAGCCTCCTGAGTGCTGAGATTACTGGTGTGTACCACCACACCTAGCTATTTTGTGTTTCTTGTAACCAAGAAAACCCTGACTCCAGGGCAGGCATCAAAGAACTACTGAAGGATTTATGTTGGAAAGCAGAATGATGCCTGAGAATAAAACCATGATATATTTATGGGATGGAAACTGAGAGGCCAAACAGTATGAGGAGAGTGAGTGGGGAAGTGGGATTAACGAAAACGACCAGAGACTGAGTTTTAAAGAAGAAGCAGGAAGACCGAGTAAGACTGAACAGTGGCAACTAGATTAGGTAATTAGGTCATGGTTACCTTTGTGAGGTTTCACTGCAGTGGGGGACAAAGATTACTGGGGAAGTCAGGATTTGGATAGGAATTACTTTTCATCTTTATGAACCCTGAATCAGATGAGCAGGTCAGGGCCATAAGTGACAGCAACAGGGACTTTTCTCTTTTAAATGAAGACCCAATCGCTTCTCGGCCTTTTGGCTAAGATCAAGGGTACATGAAGAAGACCTAAGTGTATAAATGTGCTTTAGGGGCTGGGAAGTAGAATGGGGAAGATTAAGGGAAACCTTAACTTCATAGAATTCCTGAAAAGGGTGGCAAGAAGGGACTAGAACACATCCATAGGGTTTGCTTTTGATGTCCTCTAAGGACAGCAAAGTACAATATGATGCTTAGGACATGCCAGTATTTTTCCAAGCACTTTAGATGCATTAACTGAATTAGGACTGGGTGGATAAGGAAGTTGGGAATGAGGCAATGTACATCCAAAAATCAAAATTATCTCTCCAAAATAAAGATAAGGTTACATATAGTAAATCTGAAAGAAAAGGAGGAAGAGATACGGGGAGCTTAAAAAGTAGTGGCTTAGGGCTGAGGATTTAGCTCAGTGGTTCTGCTGCCTGCCTCGCAAACACAAAGACCTGAGTTTGATCCCTGGTACAAAAAAATTTTTTTTTAAAAAGTAGTGGCTTGAAGAATAGGAGAGGAAGTTAATCAGAAATATAAACAATTATTTTAGGATAGTAATTCAATGATTGTGTTACTTTCTCCTGCAGTACTCAGATACCCTAGTTCAGGGCTCAGAGCCAAACTATATGGACCCGAGGCCAGAAGTCCTAAGAGGAGAGGGACAGAAAAACAGAGTTCAAGGAAGCTGACAACCCTGGAAGAGGACGGTTAGAGTAATGTTCGGAAGACTTAGGATATAAAAGAAAGGGACTCTAGGAGACGATGATGAACAGGAAAAAAAAGTGAGAAATCAGGATGAAATATTACAAACACAGAATCAATTGTTTTTTATCCCACTCCTTTTGGACTGGACAATCAAGGGAGCAGGTAACCTGTCACCTTCAAGTTCGGGGTTTTCCCTTGCAGTCCTCAGGCAGGATTAGAGCATACCGCCCACTCACCACGACCTTTGGCAACAGCTAAGAGTTTGTTAGGCACATCTTGGGCCTTGCTCCAGAACTACTGAATCAGAACCTGTTGAACATAATTCCCAAATACTTCATATGTATATTAAGTTGGAGAAGCACTAGGATAGGTTGATGAAAGAATGTGTAAATGCGCCAGACTTGTCATATTGCTTCTAAAATGCCAGAAGAATTAGCCTGGCATGGTGGCGCACTCCTGCAATCCCAGCACACACTGAGGCAGGAGGATCACCGTGAGTTCGAGACCAGCCAGGGCTACATAGTGAGTTTCAGGTCAGCCTCAACTACATAGTGAGACCCTGTCTCAAAAAACCAAAAAAATAAAAATAAATAAAATGCTAGAAGAGGCAGAAGTTCTGTCTCCGATGTTCTTGAGCATGCAAGATCCAATGTATTCCCCTTTTATCTGTAACAAACCCTTCCCTTACTTCCCTCAATTTTCCAAACTAACTGGTAATTCCACACCGCACCCTTGGAGCTTTCTTGTGTAGGTACAATATGTCAAAAGTCTGTTTCTCCTTATCACGTTTATCTCTAAACACTGTTCTTATCAACAGATTCTTCTTGGTGATCCAGTCATGTTGGTGTAATGTACACATTTAACACACACTGCTCCTGTCGGCAGACTGTAAAAGTCAACATTCTCAAGTGAACTCATTATAACATCGAGAACTTCATACATGACACACCGCAAATACATAGTTAGAAATTACCCACAGCTCCCCAACCTGCTGTCCTGGACCTTCCAAATTTATTTCCATGTATAAAAGGAGCCTGCTTCTCCGTTTCCCTATTTCTTTCTGCATCAATATTCCACTTCCAGCAGCCAGCTGTATTTGTTTAGATTTACACGTGAGATCTACACATGTAATAGGTATCTTGACTTTCAAGATTATTTCACTTCTCCTTGATGATTTCTTAATGTGAACCTCAGGGTGTTGCACAAGACAAACCATAGCTTCCGTTTAAATTGCTGTGATTTCTCGTGTGAGAGCCAAACTTTCTCTGCAGAGAAAATCGGCCCAAGTGAAATGAAATTCGAGAGCCAAAACCACTCCAAGGAGAGTTCTGCAGCTAGCGACACACACACACACGCTCACGCTCACTCTCCATCTGTTGCTGGCTCAGCTCTAAATGATGCTGCGCCTTTCCCCCAACATCAGTGTTTTGAAGCTGCCCCAGGGATTTCGGTTTTGATCTGCTTTTCACCCTCTCCTACTTCCTGGCGCACCGAGGGGGCGCGGG